AAAACCATCAAGAGCTATGATGAAACTGACTCTCATGAGGACAGTCACAGGAATGGAAGACCCAAAGTTACCTCTGCTGCAGAGGATCAGTTCATTAGAGTTACCAGCCTCAGAAATTGCAGCCCAAATAAATGCTTCACAGAGTTCAAGTCACAGACGCATCTCAACATCAACTGTTCAGAGGGGACTGTGTGAATCAAGCCTTCATGGTCGAATTGCTGCAAAGAAACCACTACTAAAGGACACCAATAATATAAGTGACCTGCTTGGGCCAAGAAACACGAGCAATGGACATTAGACCGGTGGATATTTGTCCTTTGGTCTGGAGGCCAAATTTGAGATTTTTGGTTCCAACAGCCGTGGCTTTGTGAGACGCGGTGTGGGTGAACGGATGATCTCCGCATGTGTATTTCCCACCGTAAAGCATGGAGGAGGAGGTGTGATGGTGTGGGGGTGCTTTGCTGGTGACACTGTCTGTGATTTATTTAGAATTCAAGGCACACTTTACCAGCATGGCTACCACAGCATTCTGCAACGATACGCCATCCCATCTGGTTTGGGCTTAGTGGGACTATCATTTGTTTTTCAACAGGACAATGACCCAACACACCTCCAGCCTGTGTAAGGGCTATTTTGCCAAGAAGGAGAGTGATGGAGTGCTGCATCAGATGACATGGCCTCCACAATCCCCAGACCTCAACCCAATTGAGATGGTTTGGGATGAGTCGGACCACAGAGTGAAGGAAAAGCAGCCAACAAGTGCTCAGCATATGTGGGAACTCCTTCAAGACTGTTGGAAAAGCATTCCAGGTGAATCTGGTTGAGAGAATGCCAGGAGTGTGCAAAGCTGTCATCAAGGCAAATGGTGGCTATTTGGTGAATCTCAAATATAAAATATATTTTTATTTGTTTAACACTTTTTTGATTACTACATGATTCCATATGTGTTATTTCATAGTTTTGATGTCTTCACTATTATTCTACAATGTAAAAAAAATAGTAAAAATAAAGAAAAACCCTTGAATGTGTAGGTGTGTCCAAACTTTTGACTGGTAGTGTATATATGTGTATGTGTAAATAATCTGATAGACAACAAAAATATTAGGCCTACGTATTATCCCGTCACAGTGGCCTCTTTTGTTAGAAGGTGGAAACTGAGACAGCAAACACACTGTGGCCAGTTTATTAGGTACACCAACCCATTCACGAAAATGATTCACTCCCATAGACAGTGAGTCACATGGCCGTGGCTTGCTATATAAAGCAGCTAGACGGGCATCAAGGCATTCAGTTGGTGTTGGATTGAACGTTAGAATGGGCAAAACGAGAGACCTAAGCGACTTTTGAGCCTGGTGCGCCGGTTCCAGTGTCTCAGAGACGACTTCTCCCACCCTGCCTAGTGATAAGGGTACAGGCTGGTGGTTTTAATGATGTGGGGAATGTTTTCTTTGCACAAGTTAGATCCCTTCATACCGATTTGAGCAATGTCTCCATGCCCCGAAGAATTCAGACTGTTCTGGAGATAAAGTGGGGGTCCGACCCGGTACTGGATGGCCACTGAGTGTATGTATCCCTGCCAGTATTATCCCGTCACAGTTGCCACTCTGTCAGAAGACAGTAAACGTATGTAGTCCAGCTACAGGATACATAATAATATGATGTGGTCGATTAGTCTGTTGTTTACTGTAGTGGGTTGATGTGACTAATCCCATTTAATGTTAGGTTGACCAACCAGAGTGACAGACAGGCATTGTTAGGGAGCACGCCATCTCAACCCTGATCCCCCCCCCCCCCCCCCCCCCCCCCCCCAACCCCTTACGTCTCTAAAGAGGAGGAGTGCTGATCTAGGAAGGAGTGCTTACCTCTGTCCTAGTAATCATTTTGATCTAAAAGGCTAAACTGATCCTAGATCGGCAATCTGAGATGCTTTATAAACCTCAGTAACAAGACATTCACCACATTTAACCCCATTTTATTATTAAGTGAAAACTGCTTAAGTCCTTAACCCCATTCTTAGATAATATAAGGAGCCATAAGTGTTTTCATTACATAGCACAGCAGGACAGCATAGCAGGGTCCTCTGGGAGATCCTAGAAAGAATCTGGTCGCTAGTTGCACTGAGTATGTGGTGGCGGCGGTGAGACTCATTGAGTTAAAATCTATTTGCAAGAGAGATTTGGTTCAAGGTAGCAGAAGTCAGCAGTTATACACAGAAATACACATACAGGACATGACATTACATACAGGACATGACATTACATACAGGACATGACATTACATACAGGACATGACATGACACATACAGGACATGACATGACACATACAGGACATGACATTACATACAGGACATGACATGACACATACAGGACATGACACATACAGAACATGACATGACATGACATTACATACAGGACATGACATGACATTACATACAGGACAGGACATGACATTACATACAGGACAGGACATGACATTACATACAGGACTTGACATTACATACAGGACATGACATTACATACAGGACATGACATTACATACAGGACATGACATTACATACAGGACATGACATGACACATACAGGACATGACATGACACATACAGGACATGACACATACAGGACATGACATGACATTACATTACATACAGGACATGACATGACATTACATACAGGACATGACATGACATTACATACAGGACATGACATGACACATACAGGACATGACACATACAGGACATGACACATACAGGACATTACATTACACATTACACATACAGGACATTACCCCTGTGTAGCTCAGTTGGTAGAGCATGGCGCTTGCAATGCCAGGGTTGTGGGTTCGTTTCCCACGGGGGGCCAGTATGAAAAATTTATGCACTCACTAACTGTAAGTCGCTCTGGATAAGAGCGTCTGCTAAATTACTAAAATGTAAAAATTACATTACACATGACACATACAGGTCATTACATTAGAGAAAGAAGCAGATGCCATCCCGTGCCAGCCAGAATGGAATTCTGGGTAATCCAGTGGGCAGCCATGTGTACGGTACCAGAATGGTCCTCCTGAGTTCCCCCATCCTCAGCCCACTAAGAGACTCATTTGATTTGATTTATTTTTGGGGTAAAAGAAATTGAAGTTAAAGTACAAATCCTAGAGGATAACACATGCAAGCATTATAAAACACGTCTTTCCAATGTTTGAGTTAGACCCAGCCCTAGTCACATATACAGTAGAGCTTGACCCTTGCTCCCCCTGAGAAGCTTACATCATTCATGTACATTGTTGTTATTGTCACTTTTAACAAGGTCTGTCTTTGGCCGTGTCATCTGCCTGTCTCTTTTTAAAAAGAACATCAGCAAATAAATTGTTTTTCTCCAGGTTGAAATCTTTTTAGATTAAAGATGTTCCACTGAGATGGGAGGTTAGATTAGGACATGTGGTCATTATGTTGTTATATAGCCAGGCTTGTCCCAACAGATTCAGAAGGATTCCTCACTCACGAACACTCATGAACAAAACCTCTCCAAGAAGGGTTGTTTTGTAATACTTTAGAATAAGGTTACATACAGTAAATTATAATTAGGTTAGTAACAGTTAATCATTTATAAATACATACTAAATTATTAATAAAGTTTGAAGCCCTCTGAAAAAGAGTCCCCCCCCCCCCCCCCCTTTATCGTTGCCTTTGTTCATTACTGCAGAACAATGGTTTTGGCTAATCCTCTATATGTCATGTCCTGCCAGTTTGGAGATTTTCAGATGTTAACAGATTTCCGTTTCTGTCTGCACAGCAGGGGGCTATGTTCTGTCTGCACAGCAGGGGGCTATGTTCGGCCGTTCTGTCTCAACTAACTTATTCAAAGGGAACAAACGCTATTCAGCTGAAAATAGTAATTGGCATTCAAAGATTGCAAAGGGTTGAATCTGAAATGCGAAAGAAAGAGAATACATTCATAAATTGCTCCATTTAATTATGAAAAAAAAAATGTTAAACAATTTTTTTGGGCATAAAGTCTTATTAGATATCTGGTTCTTCCTTCTGCTGTGCCTAAATCCTCTGTTCTTAGTGGGGTCAAGTTAGGCCAAGGGCTCGGTGAAAGAACAGCTTTTGAACCATATGAGTTTCTAGAACTCTCCTCTGTTGTGCCTTCTGCTCCAATAGAATGGAACAAACTGTTGGGATTTGCTTTCTCAAATCATTCTGAGATCATCAAGGTTACCTCAGGAGAATCCCAAATCGAGCAGTCGGTTAATCCAGATTTGACTAATACTACATCCTTGTGATATTAGAGAATTTACAAGAGCTAAGAAGCATTCTCTAGCTTCCTGTCCAGGGGGTGTACTTGTACATCAAGCTGCCTCAATCTACAGAAACAGGAGATAGGCTCCTGCTCCTATGAGCCGTTCCAGCTCGCACAAGCAAAGGCTCATGCAAGGCTACATAATAAGAAGCATCGTTACTCGATTTAGAACAAAAGCAATAATCATGTTTCAAGTCTTAAGATGGCCCCTCCCACTCCCCATCCTCTATCTACCCGGAACGTTCTATTGTTATCTCTAAACCTTTTATTGTATTAAGTCATGGTCCATCTGTATCGTTCCGGTTTTGGAACATAGGCTTCTTTTGAGATTTCATATTATTTTAATCTGAAAATCTGTTAAATTTGAAAGTAGGTTTTAGGATTTTGTACTTGATATTTTTCTGTGTATATGTGAAGTGCAATTTTCTGGGAATGGCACTGATGTACAATTACAGAAACAAGGACATTGGCAGAAACTGATACTAACAATGCAATATTTTCTAAATTGATCTTAATTCCATGCACCAAATTAAATGTTACAGAAAACGTAGATAATATACTGTGTGTATATTTGGTTACTTATAGCTTTGGGTGTATAGGCTACTTGGTACCGGTAATTATATAATTGACATCTTCCAAGTTCTCACATCTTTAGTAACAACATTCTCTTGTCTGCTTCAATCCGACAGGTTCTAGTGTGATGATGACAGATCAGCCTGTCGAAGAGCTCAGTATCCCAGTCGCTGCTCCTGTCCCTGTCCCTGTGGGCCAGCCAGCCCTTGAGGAACAGCTACAGCAACATCCTGCCAGGGAGCACAAACCAAGCAGGAGGAGAAACTCCTCCGCCGGCAGCTCACAGACGACCCGCAAACCACCGGGCGGCGAATCGGACAGCGACTTCGAGTCTGACCCTCCTTCCCCTAAAAGCAGCGAGGAGGAAGACGAGCCGGAGGAGGACGAAGGACTGAACAGCGAGCAAGAGCACGGAGAGTTCTTCAACGAACTGGACAATGTGGAGGAAACGGAGACGCTGGGCCAGAGGCCTCTGTTAATGGACTCGGAGGAGGAGTACGACAAACACAGTTCTGACTCTGACTATGAACCCAGGAAAGCTAAGGGAGGACGATCAAAGAGGCTCCCAGGAGGTAAAGGAGGGGAAGTGGCTGCTGCGGCTACTGTCTCCCATGAGGGAAGTCCGAGAGGGGAGTCGGAGGCCACGCTGATCACGATCACACCTTCCGAGTCGCCCGGTGTGGCTGCTGTTAGAGCTCCCCCTAGTGGTGGTGGGATCAAGGACATATTTGGTGCCGATGTGTTTTGCGCGGTGCCCTTCTTTCCCCCTGTGGCGTCCCCCACAGAAAGCGCAGACATCTTCTCCGCGGCTCCGTTCAGGCAGGTGAGCCAGGAGGCTGTGGTCAGCCAGACCATGGAGGAGTTTGACGTCTTTACAAAGGCTCCGTTCAGCCGGAACCTCTCCAAATCTGGCAAGACCGGCAGCAGCGATGTCCCCATGGGTCAGACCCCGCCGGTGTCCCCTGACAGCATCGATCCGTTCGGCTTCTCCCCCTTCCAGCCCGGCCCCACGGCCCCGCCACCAACCACCTCCAGGAGCGCCGAGGACATCTTCCGTCCGGCTTTCGAGGATTTGGCCAGCCCCCAGCAGCAGAGGCTGAAGCAGCGCAGCCTCCAGAAGCTGTCTTCACGGCAGAGGAAGCTCTCTGGCGGCACCGACGGTGGCAGCAACGGCAAGCGCCACCACGGTACGCCCACCGGTGGCCGCAAGAGCAACAAGCCCAGCTTCCGAACCCCCGAGCGCGTCCGCCGGCACAAGAAGGTCGGCAGGAGGGACTCCCAGAGCTCCAACGAGTTCCTCAGCACCTCAGACTCCAAGGAGAACATCAGCATCGGCAGCGTAACGATGGCCGACACCGACAAAGACAAAGGCGCTTCCCTACCTAGCCTTCCTGGTGAGGTCGACCCCATCTTGGACCCCTTCGGTGCCAAACCCTTCGGTCCTCAAGATGGCAGCCGACTCAACCAGGGCCAGTACCAAGGTCTGATGGACGGCAAGACAGACATAGTTTCGGCCAATGGCAGGCCTCAGACCAGCTCCCTCCACGGCGCGCTGGGGGATGGGAACATCACGGATGACTTTGGGGCGGTGCCCTTCACAGAACTGGTGGTCCACCCCGGGCAACAGCAGCCGTCTCAGCCGGTGGAGCTGGATCCTTTTGGGGCTGCGCCTTTCCCCTCCAAACAGTGAACGTCTCGCTAGTCTTCCCGCCACAAACACACTCATGCGCTTGTCTTTCTCAATCACATCGCTGTGTTACACCAAGCCTATGCAGTCCTGGGGATGAATTCCCTTCCAAGGGATGGCAGCTAGATTGGTGGTGTGACAGTTGATGATCTTTTCAGCCAAATTAAACTGATATCGGCAATGGCTCTAATGACTCTGCTCTTAAGTGTTTCCAATGTTGTTGTTTCCCCCCCCCCTCTAAAAATATATTTTAACACGCTAATAACTGGACTAAATCTGTGGAGGACGATTTCAGGTTCTGTATGCATTTACTTCCGCCTGTACCTGTTTTCTAACAAGCCTTTTTTATGCTGCATCACAATGCGTGTCTCTGGGCATCGAGACATTCGAACAGGAGAGACGGAGATCGTACTGTGACAAACAAGCTCGCTCAGCGTCCGACTGCTTGAGTTGCTGCAAAAAAAACAACACTTTTTTTGTATAGATTGTGGCCTCCTTCAAGATCTACCAATAAGATTGATTAATTTAGCACCATAAAGCCTTATATGGGCATGGCTCCGCCCTGCTGCACAGTACCTCGGAAACCGTTGCCTAAGCAAATGGGTCGTTTCAGAGGAGGCATTTACCACTTTAATATTTCACCCTACTTAGACCTTTTTCTATGCATTTTTTAAAAACATTTAGAGTCTACTTGTAGACACAGCGATAATGTTTTTCGTTTCGTGGTTTTTATTGCATTCTTTAATACTAGAACTAAAGGGATTTTGGTTCTGTTTCTTTTTAAAGGTTGCTGTTTTATGATTTAGGACAGTTTCAATGTTAGTTTGTTTCTATACTTTTAGCATTACAACTGTGTCAGTAAAGTTCTGTTCTATTTTAAAAAGTGGAGTGTTATTTTACCTTAATCCAATTTTTGAGTCATGACAGATTCTTTTTGAATAAAGAGGAAAAACAAAAGTCCTCCTACATGGTGAAACTGAATCTACCGATATGACTACTTCCACCTCTTCCTAGTCCTGAAACAGACTCCTATCTCTCATCGATTGGTAACACAAGCCATGCATTCATAAAGGGAAAGAGGGTCTAAAGAAATATCGTAGTACAACTTAGTCTATTAGGTCGTGTTTAAATGAACGCTCTTTCAGCGTCAACTCTTCCATTGTCTGGTAATTATAAAACCAATGTTACAGAAATAAAGATATTTACCTACCGTAGGCACTTAAAACAACAGCTGGTAGCTGCCTATGGAAGCCATCGGTTAATATTTCATTGAACAACTTTCCATAATTTTTATTTATCATGCTATACCGCTGTCTAATGCAATAAAAAAAAGTTGGATTAAAATGTGTGTGTGGTCCTTGGAAACTCATGTAGTGCACATTTAGAGCCTTCTGTATTCCAATATTGATTTTATTCATAACTCAAGTTCTAGTAATAAAAGTCAAACATACAAAAACAAAGACGGACTACAAAATTGGTTTTTAGACACTTCAAGACCAGGGCCTGTATTCTTACGTCTCAGAGTAGGATCAGTTTAGACTTTTAGATTATGATAATTAGATCAGCAGTCCTACTACGATGCTTTATGAATACACGCCCAGATCCCTTGTGCTAACGGAAACCATTGCATGTATAAACCTGCTCCAAAAAAAAAAATGGTAGTCTTGTAGTATTTATAAATATTGAGCAAAATTAAAACACGTCATCAGAGAAACACAAGCTTGTCATTCTACAACGTTAAAAAGGTTAAATATTACACATTTACAAAACATTGTCATTTGCACATAACCCTAGTAGGGTTTAAATAGAAAGAAAATACATGCCTGTAGTTGTATCCTCTAAGGCAGACAGTGTTAAGCTACATCTGAAATAGACCCTAACAAAAGGTCCCCAGCAGTCTTAACAGAACAAGAAAACTGACAACACAGTCAATTAGCGCTTCTGGAATAGAACATCATATGAGCATTGTTTTGTTGTTCCGGAGCCCAGGCTAAACAGATCTGCAGATTCCGCCAGCTGAATTAACCGTACAGCAATATGTTTTATACATATTCCTACGGACAGTTAGGCCCAAGTGTCATTAGCTACAATGCTGCACAGTGACTATCCCAAAACAAAATCAAATGCATAAAAACAGTGACAAAAGGCCTACAGTAGGGTTTTCAATGACATTACAACACATATAGCCTAGTTTAAAAAGAGCGCAGAAAACATTCGAAGATATCCTTAAATACTTGTTTCCACTATGTGCGACTGTTACGAAACTGTCCTTTCGTTAAAACTGGTTAATGAACTCTGTGTGAAAACCAAAAAGGTTCCTTTGTCAAATTAGGACTAGCTACAGTGTCTTCAGAAAGCATTCACAACCCCTGGACTTTTTACACATTTTTGTTACTGCCGGAATTTAAAAATGAATTAAATTGAGATTGTGTCACTGGCCTACACACAACACCCCACAATGTGGAATTATTGTTTTCGGAATGTTTACAAATTAAAACTAAACATGAAAAGCCGAAATGTCTTGAGTCAATAAGTATTCAACCCCTTTGTTATGGCAAGCCTAAATAAGTTCAGGAGTAAAGACTTGCTTAAGTCACATAAGTTGCATGGACTCTGTGTGCAATAAGTGTTTAACGTGATTTTTGAATGACTACCTCATCTCTGTACCCCACATACAGATAATTGTAAGGTCCCTCTGTCGAGCAGTGAATTTCAAACACAGATTCAACCTCACAGACCAGGCAGGTTTTCCAATGCCCTGCAAAGAAGGTCACCTATTAGTAGATGGGTCAAAATAAATAAAAAGCAGACACTGAATATCCCTTTGAGCATAGTGGAGTTATTACACTGTGGATGGTGTATCAATACACCCAGTCACTACAAAGATACAGGCGTCCTTCCTAACTCAGTTGCCGGAGAGGAAGGAAACCGTTCAGGGATTTCACCATGAGGCCAATGGTGACTTAAACAGTTCAAGTTTAATTGCTGTAATAGGAGAAAACTGAGGACGGATCAACAGCATTCAATACTAACCTAAATGACAGAGTGAAAAGAAGGATGCCTGTACAAAATATTTTTTTTTTGCAAAGAATTGAACTTTTTGTCCTGAATACAAAGCGTTATGTTTGGGGCAAATCCAATACAACACATCACTGAGTACCACTTCATATTTTCAAGCATGGTGGTAGCTGCATCATTATGGGTATGCTTGTCATGTGCAAGGCCTAGGGATATTCTTAGGATAAAAATAAACTGAATAGAGCTTAGCACAGGCAAAATCCTAGAAGAAAAAAAAGCAATGTAATACTTTTTTGAATTCAGGCTTTAACACAATGTGGAATAAGTCAAGGGGTATGAATACTTTCTGAAGGCATTGTATGTAATTTGAGTGGGAACACCTTCAGCCAATATAAGCTTCCCTCATATCTTTGGTTTGATTCCAAACATGATTGCTTTTCAAATCAAAGTTAAGTTGGCACATTTATTTGCTGCCCTGTGAAGTGTTTCACGTACCTCAGTGTTACACCGTCAATGAATACTGATCCAAATAACGTCGGTCTCTTCGTTACCAACATGAACATTTTAGAATATATCAGAAGTGCTCCCTACTGTAGCATAAGCACTTAATAAACAAAACATTGTTCACTTGCTACATTGTAAGATTGCTTTAAAAAAACAAAAAACAATACCACGGTACAATAACATCCCTGTGAACAGTTTAACACGTTGTTCAGAGAAAGAGAAAATGTTAAGTCTGAAGAGAAAAGGACCCTGGGAGTGCCTTAGTTGTGTTCCTGTAGCAGCAGATTGGTACTTGGTACACATCTGTGTTGGAGTGAAGGGGAAAGGGGGGGGTAGTAACCAGGGCCTTCAGTAGTTTACTGTCTCTGTAGAACGAAGGAGTGGGACAACATCCCACTACCTAAAGATCCTGCAGCCAGCCACCGGAGCATTTCATAGTATATTCCATTTTAGTAGATGCTATTATCCAAAGCGACTTACAACTGACAAAGCATTTCAAAATGGTTCACTGGTGGCATTTTACTTGTAGTGGTTGGTACTGCCTGGGTCTGCCTCTAGCATGGCAGCTCCTTACATGCTCCGTGGGATCCCAAGCTTATTCTGGCTCCGGCCACCTGTCTTTGTAGCAGCAGTCCTTGAAGTAGTTGTTTTGTTTGCTCAGCAAGGGCCATTATTTTTGTGGGGTGACAGGTAATGCTGCTTTGCGAGTGTTGTGCAGAAGGGTCCAGGTTCGAGCCCAACTCTGTTACACTGGGGGTAGCCTGGGCAGTCCTAGTCATGCTGGGAGTAGCCTGGGCAGTCCTAGTCATAATGGGGGTAGCCTGGGCAGTCCTAGTCATGCTGGGGGTAGTCTGGGCAGTCCTAGTCATGCTGGGAGTAGCCTGGGCAGTCCTAGTCATAATGGGGGTAGCCTGGGCAGTCCTAGTCATGCTGGGAGTAGCCTGGGCAGTCCTAGTCATGCTGGGAGTAGCCTGGGCAGTCCTAGTCATGCTGGGAGTAGCCTGGGCAGTCCTAGTCATGCTGGGAGTAGCCTGGGCAGTCCTAGTCATGCTGGGGGTAGCCTGGGCAGTCCTAGTCATGCTGGGAGTAGCCTGGGCAGTCCTAGTCATGCTGGGAGTAGCCTGGGCAGTCCTAGTCATGCTGGGAGTAGCCTGGGCAGTCCTAGTCATGCTGGGGGTAGCCTGGGCAGTCCTAGTCATGCTGGGGGTAGCCTGGGCAGTCCTAGTCATGCTGGGAGGAGCCTGGGCAGTCCTAGTCATGCTGGGAGTAGCCTGGGCAGTCCTAGTCATGCTGGGAGTAGCCTGGGCAGTCCTAGTCATGCTGGGAGTAGCCTGGGCAGTCCTAGTCATGCTGGGAGTAGCCTGGGCAGTCCTAGTCATGCTGGGGGTAGCCTGGGCAGTCCTAGTCATGCTGGGGGTAGCCTGGGCAGTCCTAGTCATGCTGGGGGTAGCCTGGGCAGTCCTAGTCATGCTGGGAGTAGCCTGGGCAGTCCTAGTCATGCTGGGGGTAGCCTGGGCAGTCCTAGTCATGCTGGGAGTAGCCTGGGCAGTCCTAGTCATGCTGGGAGTAGCCTGGGCAGTCCTAGTCATGCTGGGAGTAGCCTGGGCAGTCCTAGTCATGCTGGGAGTAGCCTGGGCAGTCCTAGTCATGCTGGGAGTAGCCTGGGCAGTCCTAGTCATGGGAGTAGCCTGGGCAGTCCTAGTCATGCTGGGAGTAGCCTGGGCAGTCCTAGTCATGCTGGGAGTAGCCTGGGCAGTCCTAGTCATGCTGGGGGTAGCCTGGGCAGTCCTAGTCATGCTGGGAGTAGCCTGGGCAGTCCTAGTCATGCTGGGAGTAGCCTGGGCAGTCCTAGTCATGCTGGGAGTAGCCTGGACAGTCCTAGTCATGCTGGGAGTAGCCTGGGCAGTCCTAGTCATGCTGGGAGTAGCCTGGGCAGTCCTAGTCATGCTGGGAGTAGCCTGGGCAGTCCTAGTCATGCTGGGGGTAGCCTGGGCAGTCCTAGTCATGCTGGGAGTAGCCTGGGCAGTCCTAGTCATGCTGGGAGTAGCCTGGGCAGTCCTAGTCATGCTGGGAGTAGCCTGGGAACTGCAGTCCTAGCCATAGTCTGCCTGGGGGTAGTTTACTCTGGGCAGGGGTGGCTGTGGCGGTGGGTTAAGATGAAGAAGGCAGCCTGGTGCCACCAGTAGAACATCACGATGACCAGAACATGCCACACCTGGTGGCTGGAGCCCAGGTAGTTCAACTGACCTGAGGGAAGATGCAAAGGCATGGTTATAATGGCTTTCCAAACAACATTCAAGAATGCATGGTTTTCCAAACCAGGTTCATCACCATAACAACAAGGGGACTGAAACGTCATCTGGGCTCTCAATTTGTTTTTTTTCCCCCTGTGATTCCTCGCTTCCTTCTCAACCGTTTTAGAGAGACAGACTAAAGTATTTTATTCCAAGAAAAAGAGGAATCAAGGAAAGCTGAAGTGAGACCTTGTGCATGTACCTGGGAAGTAGCGTTCAGGAACCTTGGAGACGTAGAAGATGAAGGCTAAGGCAGCGATCACGTACATCCCCAGAACACGAGGAATAAAAGACTGGAGAAAATAAGAATATTAGATCATATATAGTTGCTTTGGGTTAAAGAGTCAAGGAGTGACACTTAAAAAAGGACCCTTAGGGCCAGTTTCCTGGACATACACTGCTCAAAAAAGATAAAGGGAACACTTAAACAACACAATGTAACTCCAAGTCAATCACACTTCTGTGAAATCAAACTGTCCACTTAGGAAGCAGCACTGATTGACAATAAATTTCACACGCTGTTGTGCAAATGGAATAGACAACAGGTGGAAATTATAGGCAATTAGCAAGACACCCCCAATAAAGAAGTGGTTCTGCAGGTGGTGACCACAGACCACTTCTCAGTTCCTATGCTTCCTGGCTGATGTTTTGGTCACTTTTGAATGCTGGCGGTGCTTTCACTCTAGTGGTAGCATGAGACGGAGTCTACAACCCACACAAGTGGCTCAGGTAGTGCAGCTCGTCCAGGATGGCACATCAATGCGAGCTGTGGCAAGAAGGTTTGCTGTGTCTGTCAGCGTAGTGTCCAGAGCATGGAGGCGCTACCAGGAGACAGGCCAGTACATCAGGAGACGTGGAGGAGGCCGTAGGAGGGCAACAACCCAGCAGCAGGACCGCTACCTCCGCCTTTGTGCAAGGAGGAGCAGGAGGAGCACTGCCAGAGCCCTGCAAAATGACCTCCAGCAGGCCACAAATGTGCATGTGTCTGTTCAAACGGTCAGAAACAGACTCCATGAGGGTGGTATGTGGGCCCGACGTCCACAGGTGGGGGTTGTGCTTACAGCCCAACACCTTGCAGGACGTTTGGCATTTGCCAGAGAACACCAAGATTGGCAAATTCGCCACTGGCGCCCTGTGCTCTTCACAGATGAAAGCAGGTTCACACTGAGCACGTGACAGACGTGACAGAGTCTGGAGACGCCGTGGAGAACGTTCTGCTGCCTGCAACATCCTCCAGCATGACCGGTTTGGTGGTGGGTCAGTCATGGTGTGGGGTGGCATTTCTTTGGGGGGCCGCACAGCCCTCCATGTGCTCGCCAGAGGTAGCCTGACTGCCATTAGGTACCGAGATGAGATCCTCAGACCAATTGTGAGACCATATGCTGGTGCGGTTGGCCCTGGGTTCCTCCTAATGCAAGAAGATGCTAGACCTCATATGGCTGGAGTGTGTCAGCAGTTCCTGCAAGAGGAAAGCATTGATGCTATGGACTGGCCCGCCCGTTCCCCAGACCTGAATCCAATTGAGCACATCTGGGACATCATGTCTCGCTCCATCCACCAACGCCACGTTGCACCACAGACTGTCCAGGAGTTGGCGGATGCTTTAGTCCAGGTCTGGGAGGAGATCCCTAAGGAGACCATCCGCCACCTCATCAGGAGCATGCCCAGGCGTTGTAGGGAGGTCATACAGGCACGTGGAGGCCACACACACTACTGAGCCTCATTTTGAATTGTTTTAAGGACATCACATCAAATTTGGATCAGCCTGTAGTGTGGTTTTCCACTTTAATTTTGAGGGTGACTCCAAATCCAGACCTCCATGGGTTGATACATTTGATTTCCATTGATAATTTGTGTGATATTGTTGTCAGCACATTCAACTATGTAAAGAAACAATTATTTAATAAGATTATTTCATTCATTCAGATCTAGGATGTGTTGTTTAAGTGTTCCCTTTATTTTTTTGAGCAGTGTAGTTTAGGCCTTATCCTGGACTAAAACACACTTTCAATACAGATCCTCCACGGAGCAGATTATGGTGTCCACACCAGCCCTTAAAGTTTAGGCTCCTTTGAGGCAGGCAGTAGGCTACTAGTTCGCTGACCTGTACGAGCTCCGAAGAGAAGCCCCCGTTGAGCCAGACCCAGTGTACGGTGGGGATGAGGCCGTAGCCGGCCACGCTGCAGAAGAGAACGGAGCGCAGCCGCTGCCACTGCTTGCTGAGGTAGTGGGGGTGGATCTGGGCAAAGAACACCGCCAGGATCATGGCTAGCACCGTTACCAGGTACACCTGACGCCAGTACTGAAAAAAGAAATGGAATAGAACAGATACATTATTGTCCATTCTACAATAGAAATGGATTGTTTTGCTGTCATAATACCCAATGTACGGCTGGGGGTATGAAATATGCACTGTGTTGCACCTGTTCATTTAAGTAGGCCTATATATTCTTCAAATATTAGTGCTTTAAAAAAAAAAAATTTTTTTTTTTTTTTTTTACACTTTGTACTTTTCCAGGGCATTTATTCAGATACCCTCGCTTGCCAATTTGAGTGGAATTCACAGTGAATTAATTTTCACATGGAAAATGCCCACACCCAGGAGCATCATTTAGGACTAGTGGAATACACACTTCATACATTTGGCCAAGTATTTCCCATTCCTCATAAACCCACTCCACAAAACGTGCCTTTATGGTATTTGAGTTATACTACTAAAAATAATGGGGGGGGGGGGGGGGTTCTTTATTTTTTAAACCCAGCCCTTTTCTCTTTGGGTACTTGGCTAAGTGAGTAGAGTGAGTATTCACCCAGAGTAGAGAAGCCCCAGTCTTGGCAGGCAGGGAAGGAGCGGAGATGGTTCTGGCTCCCCTATGTGTTAACGTCATATGGCGTGTAACAGGAGTGATGTGGATAACAGGAGTGATGGACCGCTCTGAATGCAGCCATCTGGTTCTGACTGGAGCAGATTTCAGCCGCGTTCTGGGGGCACAATAACCCAGCACTTCCAATATGCGGGGGAAAGAGCTAACGGGAGGCGCCGCCAAAACTCAGACAGACAGTGGCAAAAACAAGTGAGGGGTGGCTGGAGAAGGAACGGATGGGACTTGCTTGGCCAACACTTCCAAGTCTGAGTTGTTTTCTTTCAGCAGTACAGAGCAGCAATGAAATGAAACATCCATTATTTTTGATGGGAACAATTAATTTATGAAGTGGTACATTGAATTAACTCTTTTCAAGGGCCACCATGTAAACATTGTGGAAGAGGAGAAAGTAGTCTCCACTACTACAAGTACACTAGGGTCCTTCAGGAATCATACAGAACTGTTCAGAAGAAAGAGATGAAGCCAGCCCGCTAGCCCGAGGTTAGTGAAGCCAGCCCGCTATCCCAAGGTTAGTGAAGCCAGCCCGCTAGCCCGAGGTTAGAGAAGCCATCCTGCTAGCCCGAGATTAGTGAAGCCAGCACGCTAGCAGAGAAGCCAGCCTGCTATCCCGAGGTTAGAGAAGCCAGCCCGCTAGCCCGAGGTTAGTGAAGCCAGCACGCTAGCAGAGAAGCCAGCCCGAGGTTAGAGAAGCCAGCCCGCTATCCCGAGGTTAGTGAAGCCAGCACGCTAGCCCGAGGTTAGTGAAGCCAGCACGCTAGTAGAGAAGCCAGCCCGCTAGCCCGAGGTTAGTGAAGCTAGCCCGAGGTTAGAGAAGCCAGCCCGCGGTTAGAGAAGCCAGCCCGCTATCCCGAGGTTAGTGAAGCCAGCCCGCTATCCCGAGGTTAGTGAAGCCAGCCCGCTATCCCGAGGTTAGTGAAGCCAGCACGCTAGCAGAGAAGCCAGCCCGCTATCCCGAGGTTAGTGAAGCCAGCCCGCTAGCCTGAGGTTAGTGAAGCCAGCCCGCTAGCCCGAGGTTAGTGAAGCCAGCCCGCTAGCCCGAGGTTAGTGAAGCCACCGCGCTATACAGGATCAGATCCAGGGTCAGTAGCTATATACAGGGTCAGATCCAGGGTCAGTTCCAGTACCATATTAACAATGTGTAGGGATACTGGAGTGATAGAGGTAGATATGTATAGGGGTAAGGTGATTAGACATCAGGATATATGATAAACAGAGTAGCAGCAGCGTATATGATGATTGTATGCGAGTGTGTGTGCATGTGTGTAGCGTTAGCATGAATGTGTGTGTGTTATGTGTTTGAGCAAATTAAGTGTGTGTCAGTGTGAGTGTGTATGTGCATAGAGACAGTCCAAAAATAAAATACAAGGGTCAATGCAGATAGTCCGTGTAACCATTCTGTTATCAGTCTTATGGCTTGGGGATAGAAGCTGTTCAGGAGCCTGTTGGTGTCAGACTTGTTGCTCCGGTACGGCTTGCCATGCGGAAGGAGAGAGAACAGTCTATGGCTTGGGTGGCTGGAGACTTTAACAATTACCAACTAGCCCGGCAGACCAGTAAAATTGTCTTTCAAACATCGTACGGCACAGATATTTAACCTGAATGTTACCCAGGCTAGTAGAAATCTCACTCTACTAGCCGGGCTGGCCAGCGCCCAGAAATCCTTAAGCTCCATTCCTGAAGATACAGTTGAAGTCGGAAGTTTACATACACTTAGGTTGGAGTCATTAAAACTCGTTTTTCAACCACTCCACAAATTTCTTGTTAACAAACTGTGGTTTTGGCAAGTCAGTTAGGACATCTACTTTGTGCATGACACAAGTCATTTTTCCAACAATTGTTTACAGACAATATTATTTCACTTATAATTCACTGAATCACAATTCCAGTGGGTCAGAAGTTTACATACACTAAGTTGACTGTGCCTTTAAACAGCTTTGAAAATTCCAGAAAATGATGTCATGGCTTTAGAAGCTTCTGATAGGCTAATTGACATCATTTGAGTCAATTGGAGGTGTACCTGTGGATGTATTTCAAGGCCTACCTTCAAACTCAGTGCCTCTTTGCTTGACATCATGGGAAAATCAAAAGAAATCAGCCAATACCTCATAAAAAAGATTGTAGACCTCCACAAGTCTGGTTCATCCTTGGGAGCAGTTTCCAAACACCTGAAGGTACCACGTTCATCTGTACAAACAATAGTACGCAAGTATAAACACCATGGGACCACGCAGCCGTCATACCGTTCAGGAAGGAGATGCGTTCTGTTTCCTAGAGATGAACGTACTTTGGTGCGGAAAGTGCAAATCAATCCCAGAACAACAGCAAAGGACCTTGTGAAGATGCTGGAGGAAACAGGTACAAAAGTATATATATCCACAGTAAAACGAGTCCTATATTGACATAACCTGAAAGGCCGCTCAGCAAGGAAGAAGCCACTGCTCCAAAACCGCCATAAAAAAGCCAGACTACGGTTTGCAACTGCACATGGGGACAAAGATCGTACTTCTTGGAGAAATGTCCTCTGGTCTGATGAAACAAAAATAGAACTGTTTGGCCATAATGACCATCGTTATGTTGGGAGGAAAAAGGGTGACGCTTGCAAGCCGAAGAACACCATCCCAAACGTGAAGCACCGGGGTGGCAGCATGTGGGGATGCTTTGCTGCAGGAGGGACTGGTGCACTTCACAAAACAGATGGCATCATGAGGAAGGAAAATTATGTGGATATATTGAAGCAACATCTCAAGACATCAGTCAGGAAGTTAAAGCTTGGACGCAAATGGGTCTTCCAAATGGACAATGACCCCAAGCATACGTGGTCCTCTGTAGCTCAGCTGGTAGAGCACGGCGCTTGTAACGCCAAGGTAGTGGGTTCGATCCCCGGGACCACCCATACACAAAAAAAAATGTATGCACGCACGACTGTAAGTCGCTTTGGATAAAAGCGTCTGCTAAATGGCATATTATTATTATTATTATTATATTATACTTCCAAAGTTGTGGCAAAATGGCTTAAGGACAACAAAGTCAAGGTATTGGAGTGGCCATCACAAAGCCCTGACCTCAATCCTATAGAAAATGTGTGGGCAGAACTGAAAAAGCGTGTGCGAGCAAGGAGGCCTACAAACCTGACTCAGTTACACCAGCTCTGTCAGGAGGAATGGGCCAAAATTCACCCAATTTATTGTGGGAAGCTTGTGGAAGGTTACCTGAAATGTTTGACCCAAGTTAAACAATTTAAAGGCAATGCTACCAAATACTAATTGAATGTATGTAAACTTCTGACCCACTGGGAATGTGATGAAATAAATAAAAGCTGAAATAAATCATTCTCTCTGCTATTATTCTGACATTTCACATTCTTAAAATAGAGTGGTGATCCTAACTGACCTAAAACAGGGAATTATTACTAGGATTAAATGTCAGGAATTGTGAAAAACTGAGTTTAAATGTATTTGGATAAGGTGTATGTAAAAGTCGGGATTTCATGCAACCTTAACTACAGCTGGGAAAGTCAAGTGAGCTAACATCAGGTGTAGCGTTCTGGGTGGTTAGAAGTGTGCTACATACAGTGGGGAAAAAAAGTATTTAGTCAGCCACCAATTGTGCATGTTCTCCCACTTAAAAAGATGAGAGAGGCCTGTAATTTTCATCATAGGTACACGTCAACTATGACAGACAAATTGAGGAAAAAAAATCCAGAAAATCACATTGTAGGAATTTTAATGAATTTATTTGCAAATTATGGTGGAAAATAAGTATTTGGTCACCTACAAACAAGCAAGATTTCTGGCTCTCACAGACCTGTAACTTCTTATTTAAGAGGCTCCTCTGTCCTCCACTCGTTACCTGTATTAATGGCACCTGTTTGAACTTGTTATCAGTATAAAATACACCTGTCCACAACCTCAAACAGTCACACTCCAAACTCCACTATGGCCAAGACCAAAGAGCTGTCAAAGGACACCAGAAACAAAATTGTAGACCTGCACCAGGCTGGGAAGACTGAATCTGCAAAAGGTAAGCAGCTTGGTTTGAAGAAATCAACTGTGGGAGCAATTATTAGGAAATGGAAGACATACAAGACCACTGATAATCTCCCTCGATCTGGGGCTCCACGCAAGATCTCACCCCGTGGGGTCAAAATGATCACAAGAACGGTGAGCAAAAATCCCAGAACCACACGGGGGGACCTAGTGAATGACCTGCAGAGAGCTGGGACCAAAGTAACAAAGCCTACCATCAGTAACACACTACGCCGCCAGGGACTCAAATCCTGCAGTGCAAGACGTGTCCCCCTGCTTAAGCCAGTACATGTCCAGGCCCGTCTGAAGTTTGCTAGAGTGCATTTGGATGATCCAGAAGAGGATTGGGAGAATGTCATATGGTCAGATGAAACCAAAATATAACTTTTTGGTAAAAACTCAACTCGTCGTGTTTGGAGGACAAAGAATGCTGAGTTGCATCCAAAGAACACCATACCTACTGTGAAGCATGGGGGTAGAAACATCATGCTTTGGGGCTGTTTTTCTGCAAAGGGACCAGGACGACTGATCCGTGTAAAGGAAAGAATGAATGGGGCCATGTATCGTGAGATTTTGAGTGAAAACCTCCTTCCATCAGCAAGGGCATTGAAGATGAAACGTGGCTGGGTCTTTCAGCATGACAATGATCCCAAACACACCGCCCGGGCAACGAAGGAGTGGCTTCGTAAGAAGCATTTCAAGGTCCTGGAGTGGCCTAGCCAGTCTCCAGATCTCAACCCCATAGAAAATCTTTGGAGGGAGTTGAAAGTCTGTGTTGCCCAGCGACAGTCCCAAAACATCACTGCTCTAGAGGAGATCTGCATGGAGGAATGGGCCAAAATACCAGCAACAGTGTGTGAAAACCTTGTGAAGACTTACAGAAAACGTTTGACCTGTGTCATTGCCAACAAAGGGTATATAACAAAGTATTGAGAAACTTTTGTTATTGACCAAATACTTATTTTCCACCATAATTTGCAAATAAATTCATAAAAAATCCTACAATGTGATTTTCTGGAGAAAAAAAAATCTCATTTTGTCTGTCATAATTGACGTGTACCTATGATGAAAATTACAGGCCTCTCTCATCTTTTTAAGTGGGAGAACTTGCACAATTGGTGGCTGACTAAATACTTTTTTTCCCCACTGTACGTTATTGCAGTAGAATGCGTAGAAGACATGACATACGTTATTGCAGTAGAACGGGTAGAAGACATGCCATACGTTATTGCAGTAGAACGGGTAGAAGACATGACATACGTTATTGCAGTAGAACGCGTAGAAGACATGACATACGTTATTGCAGTAGAACGGGTAGAAGACATGACATACGTTATTGCAGTAGAATGCGTAGAAGACATGACATACGTTATTGCAGTAGAATGCGTAGAAGACCCCAGGTACGTAGCAGCCCAGGATGCCCACGGAGATGCCGGCGTAGTCCAGAGCCATCCAGCGGCGACTGGTCTTCTCTGAGCGGTGACAGCAGAACAGGTGGTAGCCCACAGAGCACAGCATACACAGCTGGACAGAGAGGAGAACGCGTCATTAAACTCAGGGGAAAGAAAGAAACGTCCTCTCACTGTCAACTGCGTTTATTTTCAGCAAACTTAACATGTAAATATTTGTATGAACATAACAAGATTCAACAACTGAGACATAAACGGAACAACTTCCACAGACATGTGACTAACAGAAATGGAATAATGTGTCCCTGAAAAAAAAAAAAGGGGGGGGGGGGGGTCAAAATCAAAAGTAACAGTCAGTATCTGGTGTGGCCACCAGCTGCATTAAGTACTGCAGTGCATCTCCTCCTCATGGACTGCAACTGCAAGTTCCCGGACATTTCTAGGGGGAATGGCCCTAGCCCTCACCCTCCGATCCAACAGGTCCCAGACGTGCTCAATGGGATTGAGATCCGGGCTCTTCGCTGGCCATGGCAGAACACTGACATTCCTGTCTTGCAGGAAATCACGCACAGAACGAGCAGTATGGCTGGTGGCATTGTCATGCTGGAGGGTCATGTCAGGATGAGCCTGCAGGAAGGGTACCACATGAGGGAGGAGGATGTCTTTCCTGTAACGCACAGCGTTGAGGTTGCCTGCAATGACAACAAGTGACACACCGCCCCAGACCATGACGGACACTCCACCTCGATCCCGCTCCAGAGTACAGGCCTCGGTGTAATGCTCATTCCTTCGACGATAAACGCAAACCCGACCATCACCCCTGGTGAGACAAAACCGTGACTCATCAGTGAAGAGCACTTTTTGCCTGTCCTGTTTGGTCCAGCGACGGTGGGTTTGTGCCCATAGGCGACGTTGTTGCCGGTGATGTCTGGTGAGGACCTGCCTTACAACAGGCCTACAAGCCCTCAGTCCAGCCTCTCTCAGCCTATTGCGGACAGTCTGAGCACTGATGGAGGGATTGTGCGTTCCTGGTGTTGCCATCCTGTACCTTTACATTTACGCTCTTATCCAGAGTGACTTACAGTTCAGTGAGTGCATACATTTTTCATACTGGCCCCCCGTGGGAATCGAACCCACAACCCTGGCGTTGCAAGCGCCATGCTCTACCAACTGAGCTACACGGGACCCGTCCTGTACCTGTCCCGCAGGTGTGATGTTCGGATGTACCGATCCTGTGCAGGTGTTGTTACACGTGGTCTGCCACTGCGATCAGCTGTCCGTCCTGTCTCCCTGTAGCGCTGTCTTAGGCGTCTCACAGTATGGACATTGCAATTTATTGCCCTGGCCACATCTGCAGTCCTCATGCCTCCTTGCAGAATGCCTAAGGCACGTTCACACAGATGAGCAGGGACCCTGGGCATTTTTTTTTGGTGTTTTTCAGAGTCAGTAGAAAGGCCTCTTTAGTGTCCCAAGTTATCAAAACTGTGACCTTAATTGCCTACAGTCTGTAAGCTGTTAATGTCTTAACGACCGTTCCACAGGTGCATGTTCATTAATTGTTTATGGTTCATTGAACAAGCATGGGAAACAGTGTTTAAACTCTTTACAATGAAGATCTGTGAAGTTATTTTGATTTTTACAAATTATCTTTGAAAGACAGGGTCCTGAAAAAGGGACGTTTCTTTTTTTGCCGAGTTTATGTCAGAGGACAATACAGAGCTGGACAGAGAGAACACTCAATAAAACTATGTCAGAGAAGAAATGCTTTGAATGAAAGCTCCCATCCTCATATTGTCTTATTTAAGGTCATGGAACTCAGAATATCAATCTGGTTGGACTGGCTGTTTTGGCTGATCAGATTGACTGTCTGTCACCACTCAGAGAAGTGGTGTAGGCTATTTCCTTGATTCCTTGTGTCCTCTCCTCTGATCTTCTCTTGCAATGAGTTGAGGACACAAGGAAATAAAATTGAGATTCACCCATAGTGCCATTTTGTAAATCAAATCAAATGTTATTTGTCACATGCGCCGAATACAACCTTACAGTCAAATGCTTACTTACAAGCCCTTAACCAACAATGCAGTTGTAAGAAGAAAAAAAAAAATATATATATATATATTTTTTTTAATCACACAAAAAATACAGTATAAAATAATACGACATAAAAGTAAAAAATAATTATAAAGAGCAGCAGTAAAAATAACAATAATGAGGCTAAATAAAGGGGGTACCGGTACCGAGTCAATGTGCGGGGGCACCGGTTAGTCGTGATAATGAACAGAGAGTAGCAGCAGCGTAAAGGGGGGGGGGGGGGGGGGCTGTTTAGAAGCCTCTTGGACCTAGAGTTGAGAATGACACAAATATTAATTTTCACAAAGTCTGCTGCCTCAGTTTTTATGATGGCAATTTGCATATACTCCAGAATGTTATGAAGAGTGATCAGATGAATTGCAATTCATTGCAAATTCCCTATTTGCCATGAAAATGAACTTAATCCCCAAAAAACATTTCCACTGCATTTCAGCCCTGCCACAAAAGGACCAGCTGACATCATGTCAGTGATTATCTTGTTAACACAGGTGAGAGTGTTGACGAGGACAAGGCTAGAGATCACTCTGTCATGCTGATTGAGTTAGAATAACAGACTGGAAGCTTTAAAAGGAGGGTGGTGCTTGAAATCATTGTTCTTCTTCTGTTAACCATGGTTACCTGCAAGGAAACACGTGCCGTCATCAGTGCTTTGCACAAAAAGGGCTTGACAGGCAAGGATATTGCTGCTAGTAAGATTGCACCTAAATCAACCATTTATTGGATCATCAAGAACTTAAAGGAGAGAGGTTCAATTGTTATGAAGAAGGCTTCAGGGCGCCCAAGAAAGTCCAGCAAGCGCCAAGACCGTCTCCTAAAGTTGATTCAGCTGCGGGATCGGGCACCACCAGTGCAGAGCTGGCTCAGGAATGGCAGCAGGCAGGTGTGAGTGCATCTGCACGCACAGTGAGGCGAAGACATTTGCAGGATGGCCTGGTGTCAAGAAGGGCAGCGAGGAAGCCACGTCTCTCCAGGAAAAACATCAGGGACAGACTGATATTCTGCAAAAGGTACAGGGATTGGACTGCTGAGGACTGGGGTAAAGTCATTTTCTCTAATGAATCCCCTTTCCGATTGTTTGGGGCATCTGGAAAAAAGCTTGTCCGGTGAGCGCTACCATCAGTCCTGTGTCATGCCAACAGTAACGCATCCTGAGACCATTCACGTGTGGGGTAGCTTCTCAGCCAATGGAGTGCACTCACTCACAATTTTGCCTAAGAACACAGCCATGAATAAAGAATGGTACCAACACATCCTCTGAGCGTAACTTCTCCCAACCATCCAAGAACAGTTTGGTGACGAACAATGCCTTTTCCAGCATAATGGAGCACCTTGCAATAAGGCAAAAGTGATAACTAAGTGGCTCGGGGAACAAAACATCGACATTTTGGGTCCATGGCCAGGAAACTCCCCAGACCTTAATCCCATTGAGAACTTGTGGTCAATCCTCAAGAGGCGGGTGGACAAACAAAAACCCACAAATTCTGACAAACTCCAAGCATTGATAATGCAAGAATGGGCTGCCATCAGTCAGGATGTGGCCCAGAAGTTAATTGACAGCATGCCAGGGCGGATTGCAGAGGTCTTGAAAAAGAAGGGTCAACACTGCAAATATTGACTCTTTGCATAAACTTAATTTAATTGTCAATAAAAGCCTTTGACACTTATGGAATGCTTGTAATTATACTTCAGTATACCATAGTAACATCTGACAAAAATATCTAAAAACACTGAAACAGCAAACTTTGTGAAGACCAATACTTGTGTCATTCAACACTTTTGACCATGACTGTACACGTCCTGGTAATTCTTCTGGCCCTGCGGCCTTGTGAATGTTGACCTGTTTAAAGGTCTTACTCACATTGGCTACAGAGAGTGTGATCACACAGTCGTCCGGAACAGCTGATGCTCTCATGCATGCTTCAGTGTTGCTTGCCTCGAAGCGAGCATAGAAGTGATTTAGCTCGTCTGGTAGGCTTGTGTCACTGGGCAGCTCGCGGCTGTGCTTCCCTTTGTAGTCTGTAATAGTTTGCAAGCTCTGCCACATCTTTGCCTGTTTGATGGTTCGTCTGAGGGCATAGCAGGATTTCTTATAAGCTTCCGGGTTAGAGTCCCGCTTCTTGAAAGCGGCAGCTCTACCCTTTAGCTCAGTGGGGATGTTGCCTGTAATCCATGGCTTCTGGTTGGGGTATGTACGTACAGTTACTGTGGGGACGACGTCATCGATGCACTTATTGATGAAGCCAGTGACTGATGTGGTGTACTCCTCAATGCCATCGGAAGAATCCCGGAACATATTCCAGTCTGTGCTAGCAAAACAGTCCTGTAGCTTAGCATCTGCTTCATCTGACCACTTTTTTATTGACCGGGTCACTGGTGCTTCCTTTCGTTTTTGCTTGTAAGCAGGAATCATGAGGATCGAGTTATGGTCAGATTTGCCAAATGGAGGGCGAGGGAGAGCTTTGTACACGTCTCTGTGTGTGGAGTAAAGGTGGTCTAGAGTTTTTTTCCCTCTGGTTGCACATTTAACATGCTGGTAGAAATGAGGTAAAACGGATTTAAGTTTCCCTGCATTAAAGTCCCCGTCCACTAGGAGCGCCGCCTCTGGATGAGCGTTTTCCTGTTTTCTTATGGCCGTATACAGTTCATTGAGTGCGGTCTTAGTGCCAGCATCGGTTTGTGGTGGTAAATAGACAGCTACGAAGAATATAGATGAAAACTCTCTTGGTAGATAGTGTGGTCTACAGCTTATCATGAGATACTCTACCTCAGGCGAGCAGCATAGTGCCACTCACTACCCCCCCCCCCCCCCTCCCCCTCCCGGTAGTACCCCACCCGGAAGCTTTATTGATGGTATAGTACCCACCTGGAAGCAGAAGAGTCCTATGGAATAGATGACATAGTCCTCCCGGGAGGCCCCGCTGGCAGGCAGCACGAACGCCATGTCGTAGATCCCCAGGGTGAAGAACAACAGGAAGCCCAGCAGGTGGCTCCAGATATTCACCGTCTCATTCGACAGGATGAACAGACTACAGGAAGTAAACACAGATATTCACTGTCTCATTGAATAGGCTGAACAGACTACAGGAAGTAAACACATATATTCACTGTCTCATTGAACAGGATGAACAGACTACAGGAAGTGACACATGGTTTAAGTGTTAGGCCTAGGATCTGTCTGAAAAAGTGTACAAGCCGTCAAATTCTTGATTCCTCCGTCCGTGTTTCCTCCATTTTACCCTCTTTCTCATTGGAGGAGAGGCTCCAAGGTCTCTCCTCTTGGACCTCATTATCCACTGAGCTTAGAGAGGTGAGGAATGGAAGAATCAAGGACAAGAGGAATCAAGGATGACCGTTAAAATGTGGCCCAGATCTGTATGAGTTCGGCATACTTCACAGAGCAAGTTCCATGCATCGGTTATTGTTAAAATCTAGGGGTGATGGACCACCCAACTACACCCACCCACCTTTTGATGCACAGCCTGGAGGGCAGGTAGGCTCTGTAGCCGTCTGTGATGTAGGGGTTATCCCTCAGGAAGACTGGGATCTGTTCGTAGGTGTACAGCCTTATCCCTCTGGGGACCAGCACGGGCCAGTACTGGTAGCTCCCCCCCAGCTCGATGTAGTGGGCACTCTTCATCAGCTTCTGAGGCATGGTGGATCTACTGAAACCTGTAGGCGTCACCACTGCATCACAGTCATCTGCTGGTAGAGATAGAGAGAGACATCTTTAAAAAGTCAGAAATCAGTCAGGTATTTAGACAACTAGTCCTAGCTAGTTTTTTTTTTTGGAATGAAAGAGAGAGAGATACAGTGCCTTCAGAAAGCATTCACACCCCTTTTGACTTTTTCCACATTTTGTTGTGTTACAGCCTGAATTTAAAATAGATCAAATGTAGATGCTGTGTCACTGTCCTACACACAATACCCTGTGTTGAGGATCAGCGTGGCAGATGTGTTGTTACAACCGTCAGCCTTTCCTAGATGATACGTTGGGTTAAGGGGGCAGCGAGAAGAGGAGACGGGGCTGCGTCCCTTTTATGTCTCAACCCGTGCCCAGGGGCCAAACCCATAAGGCCTTTCAAAAAAAAGTGACATATAGGGAAAAAAGGTGCCGTTTGGGGCGAGGCAGGAAGGGACTAATTATGCCGCCCTGCTGTCCAAAAGGGTGGATGTCCACTCAGACGCGTTTAAAACCCCCTCTGATTAACCCATGGGGAAAAAGAGGGGATCACCGTTTTGGTTCCCCGGCCGCTCCGGCGTGGCGATGTTTAGATTTTAAAATTGAGAGTGTTTTTTGTTGGGTTTGGTTTTTTGGTTGCTACGTGATGGGGGGAGAGGGTTGCTCGTCTGAAGTGTTGATGTGGTGGGTGGTCTGTATGTTTAAAAAAAAAATATTAAATAATAAAATTTGGGGGGAAAAATTTTTTTTTTTTAAAAAAAGGGGGGGGGAAAAAAAAAAAAAAAAAATTTTTTTTTAAAAATTTTTTAAAAGGGAGGGGGAGGGAAAGAAAAAATTAAAAAAAAAAATTAAAAAGGGGGGGAAAAATATTTAAAAAGGGGGGGGGGGTTTTGGGAGTTGGGGGTGGAAAAAGATGGGTATGGGGATGAGGATTTGTATATAAAAATAATAAAAAATTTTTTATATTTTTTATTTTATTTAAAAAAATGGGGGGAAAAAAATAAAGAAGAGGGGAGGGGGGGGGAAGGAGAAACGAAATATGTTTTTCGCGGGGGGGCCCCCCCCCCCCCCCCCCCCCCCCCCCCCCCCCTTTTTTTTTTTTTTTTTTTTTTTTTTTTTTTTTTAAACCCCCCCCCCCCCCCCTTTTTTTTTTTTCCCCCCCCCCCCCCCCCCAAAAAAACCCCCCCCCCCCCCCTTTTTTTTTTTTTTTTTTTTTTTTTTTTTTTTTTTTTAAAATTTTTTTTTTTTTTTTTTTTTTTAAAATTTTTCAAAGTTTTTTTTTTTTTTTTTTAAAGGGCCCCCCCGGGAAAAAAGGGGAAACCCAAAATTTTTTTTTTATTTTTCCCCTATTAATTATCTTTGCTCTAATCGGCTTTTAAAATTTTCCCCTTTCTTCGGGTTTTTCCCCCCCCTTTTTTTTTTTCTTTAAATTCAATTCACCCGGCCTCCCCTATGAATCTGAAATAAAAGTTATGTTGTAGACAGTGTTTGGTTATCTTTCCTGTTTGTTTCTCTGTTTTTTTCCCTTTATTCTCTCTCTCTCTTCTTCTCTCTTCCTCTCTCCTTCTTTCTCTCTTCTCCTTCCCCTTTTCTTCTTCTCTCTCTCTCCTTCCAATTTAATTCAATTTTGGGGTTTATTGGCTGGGAAACGTATGTTAACATGCCAAAGCAAGGAAGAGATTAAACAATGTGAAATAACAAAACATATTTAAAAGTAAAAATTCACTCAGAATTTTCCAAAAAAATAAAGGACATTTCAAATGTCATATTATGTCTTTATACAGTGTTGTAACAATGTGCAAATAGTTAAAGTAAAATGGGAAAATAAATAAACATAAATATGGGTTTGTATTATGATGGTGTTTGTTCTTCACTGGTTGCCCTTTCTTGTGGCAAACAGGTCACAAATATGTGCTGCTGTGATGGCACACTGTGGTTTTTCTCCCAGTAGATAAGGGAGTTGATCAATATTGGGTTTGTTTTTTCGAATTCTTTGTGGATCTCTGTAATCTGAGGGAAATATGTGTCTCTAATATGGGCATACATTTGGAAGGAGGTTAGGAAGTGCAGTTCAGTTTCCACCTCATTTTGTGGGCAGTGTGCACATAGCCTGTCTTCTCTTGAGAGCCAGGTCTGCCTACGGCGGCCTTCCTCAATAGCAAGGCTATGCTCACTGAGTCTGTACAAAGTCAAAGCTTTCCTTAAGTTTGGGTCAGTCACAGTGGTCAGGTATTCTGCCACTGTACTCTCTCTTTAGGGCCAAATAGCATTCTAATTTGCTCTGTTTTTTTGTTAATTCTTTCCCATGTGTCAAGTAATACTCTTTTTGTTTTCTCATGATTTGGTTGGGTCTAATTGTGTTGTTGTTGTTGTTGTTGTCCTGGGGCTCTGTGGGGTCTGTTTGTGTTTGTGAACAGAACCCCAGGACCAGCTTACTTAGGGGACTCTTCTCCAAGTTCATCTCTCTGTAGGTGATGGCTTTGTTATTGAAGGTTTGGGAATCGCTTCCTTTTAAGTGGTTATAGAATTTAACGGCTCTTTTCTGGATTTTGATCATTAGCGGGTATAGGCCTAATTCTGCTCTGCATACATTATTTGGTGTTTTTCATTGTACACGGATGATATTTTTGCAGAATTCTGCATGCAGAGTCTCAATTTGGTGTTTGTCCTATTTAGTGAATTCTTGGTTGGTGAGCGGACCCCAGACCTCACAACCATAAAGGGCAATGGGTTCTATAACTGATTCAAGTATTTTTAGCCAGATCCTAATTGGTATGTCGAATTTTATGTTCTTTTTGATAGCATAGAAGGCCCTTCTTGCCTGTCTCTCAGATCGTTCACAGCTTTGTGGAAGTTACTTGTGGCACTGATGTTTAGGCCGAGGTATGTATAGTTTTTTTGTGTGCTCTAGGGCAACGGTGTCTAGATAAAATTTGTATTTGTGGTCCTGGTAACACCATTATTTTTGTCTTACTGAGATTTACTGTCAGGGCCCAGGTCTGACAGAATCTGTACAGAAGATCTAGGTGCTGCTGTAGGCCCTCCTTGGTTGGGGACAGAAGCACCAGATCATCAGCAAACAGTAGACATTTGACTTCAGATTCTAGTAGGGTGAGGCCAGGTGCTGCAGACTGTTCTAGTGCCGTCGCCAATTCGTTGATATATATGTTGAAGAGGGTAGGGCTTAAACTGCATCCCTGTCTCACCCCACGGCCCTGTGGAAAGAAATGTGTGTGTTTCTTGCCAAATTTAACCGCACACTTGTTGTTTGTGTACATGGATTTTATAATGTCGTATGTTTTTCCCCCAACCCCACTTTCCATCAATTTGTATAGCACACCCTCATGCCAAATTGAGTCAAAAGCTTTTTTGAAATCAACAAAGCATGAGAAGACTTTGCCTTTGTTTTGGTTTGTTTGTTTGTCAATTAGGGTGTGCAGGGTGAATACGTGGTCTGTCGTATGGTAATTTGGTAAAAAGCCAATTTGACATTTGCTCAGTACATTGTTTTCACTGAGGATGATAACGCTGTTAATGATAATGCAGAGGATTTTCCCAAGGTTGCTGTTGACGCATATCCCACGGTAGTTATTGGGGTCAAATTTGTCTCCACTTTTGTGGATTGGGGTGATCAGTCCTTGGTTTCAAATATTGGGGAAGATGCCAGAGCTAAGGATGACGTTAAAGAGTTTAAGTATAGCCAATTGGAATTTGTGGTCTGTATATTTTATCATTTAATTGAGGATACCATCAACAGCACAGGCCTTTTTGGGTTGGAGCGTTTGTATTTTGTCCTGTAGTTCATTCAATGTAATTGGAGAATCCAGTTGAATCCTAGTTGATTCTAAGATTTGTATTTGATCATGTATATTTTTTTGCTGTTTGTTCTTTGTTATAGGGCCAAAAATATTGGAGAAGTAGTTTACCTATACATCTCCGTTTTGGATAGATAGCTCTTCGTGTTGTTGTTTGTTTAGTGTTTTCCAATTTTCCCAGAAGTGGTTAGAGTCTATGGATTCTTCAATTACATTGAGCTGATTGCTGACATGCTGATTCTTTTTTTTCCCTAGTGTATTTCTGTATTGTTTTAGTTATTCACCATAGTGACGGCGTAGGCTCAGGTTTTCTGGGTCTCTATGTTTTTGGTTCGATAAGTTTCTCAATTTCTTTCTTAGATTTTTGCATTCTTCATCAAACCATTTGTCATTGTAGTTACTTTTCTTCTGTTTTCTGTTAGAGAGTTTTAGATTTGATAGGGAAGCTGAGAGGTCAAATATACTGTTTAGGTTTTCTACTGCCAAGTTTACACCTTCACTATTACAGTGGAACGTTTTGTCCAGGAAGTTGTTTTAAAGGGATTGAATTAGTTGTGCCTAATAGTGGTGAGGTAGGGTCACCAAAATAAGACGGGGGACAGAGGGAGAGAGAGGAGAGAGAGAGAGAGAGAGAGCGAGGAGCGCAGAGAGAGAGAGAGAGAGGAGGGGAGAGAGAGATAGGGGAGGAGCGAGGAGAGAGAGAAGAGAGAGAGAGAGAGAGGAAGAGAGAGAGAGAGGAGAGAGAGAGATGCAGGAGAGAGAGAGAGGGGAGCAGAGAGAGTGGAGCGATAGAGAGCGATGAGAGAGAGAGAGCGCCGAGGCAGAGATAGAGCTCCTCTATTCCTTCTCTCTTCTCTCTCGCTCTCTCTCTCTGCTTCTCTCTCTCTCTCTCTCTCTCTCTCTATCTCTCTCTCGCATCTTTCTCACAGATGTAATGTAATGTAGGATCTTAATCTGATCACTCTTTTGTTGCTGGGAATTTTCCTGAAAATGCAAACTTGTATTTGAGTTTTAAATAGGATTTTAAAGTTTGTAATTTCAAACTGGCTCAACTTAAGATCCTACATCTGTATTTGTGTATCAGACTAATAAAACTCCCCTTCTCCCTCACTTTCCACACCAGTAGGAGGTCTCACTCTCTCGCTCTAACCCACACACAGAGAGAGAGAGAGAGAGAGAGGAGAGAGAGAGAGAGAGAGAGGAGAGAGAGAGAGAGATGAGAGGACGAGAGAGAGAGGAGAGGAGGAGAGACGAGAGAGA